TTGTTCTTGTTCTTCTTGTTCTTCTTCTTGTTCTTCTTGTTGTTGTTGTTGTTGTTGTTGTTGTTCTTCTTCTTCTTCTTCTTCTTCTTCTTCTTCTTCTTCTTCTTCTTCTTCTTCTTCTTCTTCTTCTTCTCATTATTATTATGATTATTATTATTATATTATTATTATATATATATATATATATATATATATATATATATATATATATATATATATATTTTTTTTTTTTTTTTTTTTATCTGAGGCGTGGTTGGTTGGTTGGTTGGGTGGTGTTGGTGGTGTTGGTGGGCTTGGAAGTGTTTTTCATTGTTGTTGTTTTTCAGGTGTCGCAAGGTGTTAGGCTTAAAATTGGGTGGGGGGTGGGGGGGGGGGGGGGTCTTAGAAAGTCAGCGCAGCGCCACCTTTGCTCACACGCCGCCCGCTGCTGTCGTTATCCCGGGTTAATGGTTGACCTGTGTGTGCCGCTATGAGACAGCCCATACTTGGCCTATTATTGCTTATAGCCTTGTATGGTCATTATGTGACCAAAGCAGCCTCAAACGTGACCTTCATCCGTGCCAGTGAAGAGGGCGAGGTCAACTCCCTCTGTAACCCCATGGTGATAAGCGTCTTGCTCAAGGAGGCCTACAGGTAGACTGCAGACATTGGGGTTCAGTCAACCATTGGTTATCCTCCAGAGGGAGCGTTTCTCCACACAACCCATACTAGAAGAGTCAAGCCTGCCTTCATTTGTATTGTGCAGTGTTGCGGTTCGATCCATGCCGCTTGTTTTGTTCACAGTGCTGCTTGGAAGACAGAAAAGCAAGTGCACATGCTCGCTGTGTGTGTGTGCGTGTGCGTGTGTGTGTGTGTGTGCTTGCGCGAACATGCACCAAGTAAGTAGCAGAGCACAGAGACACTCACACAGCAGCCCCTTGGAGCAGGGCCCTGTCATCATCTCCGTGTGCGGTTACGGAGACATTCCACGGAGTCAGGCGTAGTTCACATCCATGACTGACAGATGAACAGACGCACGCGCACGCGCACACGCACACGCACACACACACACAAACAAACACTCCCCTCCCTATTCCAATACTGTAATTATTATCCCAGAAACAATGTAGTACACATTCCACTGGGCTAGAGGCCCTTCAGAATATGTAAGGAATAAAGCAGGATCTGGTGTCCCGTTATTGGAATATAATAATATAATAATAATATATATACGAAGGGGTGGTGATGTGGCCAAGGCTGAGGAGCCGAGGTTCCTCGCCGCCACCGCCGAAGTAACTGCACAGTTATCAACAGTGATTGGATGTTAGTTGGTTGTTATTGGTTTTCTATCGACTTAGTCAGCTGAAATTAAAACATTATGAATATTCTGCTTTGAGAATATATATATATGCGTTGTCAAGGAAACATCTGCCCGATAGTTAATTTGACCTGTCAATGTTGGATTTGTAGCGCATTGATTTGGAACTGTTAAAAGGTGTCCTGTTATTGAAAGATACCGTTATTGACCAATCGGGATCAAGTATTTAACAACGCTGTGGTATATTCTTTAATAATATTCAGAAAATGCTGATGATTTAAGTGCTGTAGTGTTCATGTGAGCACACTCTTCTTTGTCCTTCCTCTTAAAACTGGGTGTGAGTCAGACTTCTCCTTGCCCAGTCCTGTGTGTGTGTGTGTTTGTGTGTGCCAACTTGACTCAGTTATGTGTGTTTAATGCCATGCTGGGACAAATGATGCACACACCCGGGAAACGAGGAAGATGAGGTGAGATCTGTGTGTGTGTGTGTGTGTGTGTGTGTGTGTGTGTGTGTGTGTGTGTGTGTGTGTGCATTTAACATTCCATGGCTGGTTATAATTGCTAGTGTGTGTGTGTGTATAATAAAATCAAGAGGGAAGTAGAAGAAGCAGTGCAGGGTAAAGGAGGGGAGAGAGAGAGACAGAGAGACAGAGAGAGAGAGAGAGAGAGAGAGAGAGAGCGAGAGCGAGAGAGAGAGAGAGAGAGAGAGAGAGAGAGAGAGATGTTGAATATGAGAGATACTTGGGGTCCCCACTGTTTTTACAAGAGAGAGAGCAATAGAGATAGCATGATTGAAACAAGCTGTGATGCACAGGTTCACACAGTTCTCTATGTGACATGGGACGGGTGTGTCATTGCTGTGTGTTTAGAAAAATAAAACTGTAAATCCTAACCGATCCAATCTGAACCCTAACTTAAGTCTGAAGTATAATTTGTGTTTTTCGATGGTGTTAAGAGATTGCAAGTGCCAGGTTTGATTGGGAGTGGGTGTTTGTGTTTAACAAGAAAGAAAGAAGAATGATAGAAAGGAAGAAAAAAAAAGAGAGAACGACGTTATTATTCCTCTCCTCACCTGGCTTCCAGCCCACGCTGGCCTGGTTCAGGTTAGCACTGCAGGTTAGTGAACATCAAAGCGAGCGGGATACAGAAACGAAATGCAGAGAAGACCGGGCGAGAGGGAGGATGGCTGAAGGAATGCTGAGAGGCATAAATCAGGTTCACATCTGGGCACCAAACATCATCCCACATTATTCACTCAGTCGGGCCCTGAGTCCACAGGGTGCCCTGGCTGCCTATAATGGGCCCCCGGTTCCCAAGCTGCCTGGCAGCGGGACCACAAATGTCGGGTGACATAACAACACACCAGAGCACCACCACCGCCACCTCAGGTCCGGCTAAAGGTGGTGGTGGGTGATGGGTCTGGCATCCTTTGGGATGCCGGTGGCCTATCAGCTGATATAGTGCCCCTGGCTGTCGCTAAGCAACGGGCAGCACCCTAGCAGGCAGCCAGATTCATGTGGTACCACAGAACAAGCCCCACACACACTGGGACGCAGTGCGGAAATAGTCACTCGTAAAGTTTGTCCTGCGGCAGAAGAGACTTCGTCTGTGTTTGAGCCAGTGCAGTCACTTTTATGTATGAGGTTCATGTGCAGGTTTTCCCCTTTCCCCATCGCCCATACATTGTTGACCAGACCAATATACTGTAACTAATGCATATTGCAATGAATCGGTCCTTTCAATGCCCCTTTGATCGTCCGATCACGCCAGGACGTATTAACTGCCAGGTCTGGACAGTCCCAGATCAGGTCTTGCTCACATTGTGATCCGATGAGCTAGACCACATCCCGAAGTGGTCAGGCTCACATTCTGATCGGACTGCAAAGGTGTGTGGACAGCGGTCTGAGCACAATGTGGGCAGACCACTGGCTACGTCATTAAAACCACTCCCCACTTTGCCTATGCATGGTATGCACAGGCTACTACCGCCATTTAGCACCGAAGATGGATGGAAAATAAGTCGTGGGGTTTAACCAAGACTCGATACCTGTTGGCGATGTTATGGTCAGATGTCACTGTCCAGGCTAAACTGGATCCCAAATTGCACTCAATAATGTAATGCATGCATAGAGTACTGGTGCGGGCCATACCACTACATACCATTTTAAACAGCAAGCACAACATAAGGGCTTGTCTTCCTCCCAGCGCCATTTCAGTAGATTTATTTTACCAGGAATTATTTTTTTGTGGGAAAGTGGAATCCGAACACAGAGTGTCAAGTGTGGACGTCAGACCTGTGTTCCCATCTGGCACATCTGATCACAAAGTCGCATTGAAATGACAGGTGTAACCGATGCCTTACTCTATAAGTCCTGATTGATGATAATTGAATGACTCATCAGCAGACCACCATAACCTTACAACCTGGCATGTGTGGTTGTCCATTGCAGTCAGTAGAGGTGGGTTGTGGTTGTGATGGAGACTTAAGCAATTATACACTACGCAAATGCGTGTATAATCTATCTCCATCCCGCTCTCTGCGGCTATCTTTTGCCTGTTTGTCTCAGTCCTTCCTGTTGTCTGTAGACCGTGTGCCTGGGCTTCCTGTGCTGGTGGTAAGTGATTAGATAAGCAGCAGGACACTTGGCTGCAGGCTAACGGGTTCAGACTGGCCACTACTGGCCATTTAAGCACTATGTCAGCACACAACCGTGGCTGGACAAGGAGACACTAGTGAACCAGACTAGTAAACACTGCTAAACCCCGACTATTTATACTAGAATACATTGGTGTGGCCATGATACACAGATGTAACATAGCGAGGAGCACTTAATTGAACAAATTAAGTGACTTTTCTAAGTTGATCGTGACCATGCTTGTGTATGGGTGGAGGAATGACTATGACCTGCGTGACCCCCAGTGGTCCGCTATACCTTTACATAGGGATCAAGTGACCCTGCCTACATCCCAGGGATTAGCTTGTCTGAGCTGGGGGCCTTTTCCTTCCATTCTCTACACTCTTCCTCTATCTTGGGGAGGAGGTGTGCTCACCTGGGTCTTGCTCTGTTGTATTTACTCTTTCTCTTTTCTCTCTCTCTCTCTCTCTCTCTCTCTCTCTCTCTCTCTCTCTCTCTCTCTCTCTCTCTCTCTCTCTTCTAAGAGTTGACTTATTATTCCCTATCAGACTTGGCTTCCTGCTGGCCAAAGTGCGAGCACATGCAATTTGGGTCAGACGCTCCAGTGCATATATGGTGCAGTAGCAGTGACTGAGGTGTTGCTATAGTGAGTACATAAAGTGAACTGTAACATGTAACTGGAAACCCTTTTGGTGAGGTACAAAGGACTCTGTTCTACAGTTAAAGTTAACTGGTGGCGATGGCAGGAATCCAAAGCATATCCAAGTGTCAACAATAACTTATTCACTGTCTTTGTAGATTCCAGTAAGATGAGATCACTATTTGTCATAATCACTGAAGCACGTTCAACACATTAATGAGAGCCTCAAAGGGCTTTGCAAGTTGCCACCTCCTCACTTTAAGCTCTCACAGGGACAAGAACAATCCAAAATCAAGGGAACAGTTTCACATTTCATTGCAGAGTCATCAACAATGTCACCAAAGTCATGCATTTGTCAACATGCATTTATATTAAATTATATTAAATATTAAAACCCTTTAATGTTTTTTTTAATTTAGCAGACACTTCAGGATGCCTACAGGTGGGGTTCGAACCCAGAACCTTTCGACCAAAAGTCAAACACCGTAACCACTAGACTTTCCTGTTAATCACATGCCTCAGCTGGGGGAATATCTTCCTAATATGCTTCTGATTGTATCTCTCCCAAAAAGTGCCAAGTGTGCTTTGCATTTCACCTAAAGACACTGCCACACAAGCCTTAATCCGTAAGGTCATTAAGGTCATTAAGGACTCACGCGAAGACGGGTGAAACTGAGAACGCCAACGCCAGATATAGAGAGAAAACAGCAAGTTAGGGTGAAGATGAACATATGGATGCATGGAAAGTATGTGCTTCACTGACCCCCTGTGACCCCCACAATGCATCACTTTATTATTACCAAGCGTGTCTTTGTCGCCGTGGAAATGTTGTCAGCGATATGTAGCGTGGAAAAACCCTGGGAACTGCTCGGCCCATTCAGCGGCCCTGCTGGGCGGGGCCCTCCTGCCCTCCCGCCCTCCCCCTGTCCTCGGCCCACAAAGACAGACTGTGTGTGTGCGTGTCTGTGTGAGTTTTAGAGCGGAAGAGAAAGAGTGTATAGTGTGTGTGTGAGAGAGAGCGTATAGTGTGTGTTAGAGATTGAGAGAGATGGTGTGTAGGGATGTGTTGAGAAAGGATGAGAGAGATAGTCTATAATGTTGAGAAAGAAAGAGATTTGAGAGATTGAGTGAGAGAGAGAGAGAGAGAGAGAGAGAGAGAGAGAGAGAGAGAGAGAGAGAGCAAAGAGTGTGTGTAACGAGTTGAGTGAGTGCACTGGACCACTGAAGACATGAAGACTGTCTTTGAGTCACTGTTACAGGGAAGACATGGGACACTGGCTCGGTTTTGTGTGTGTGTGTGTGTGTGTGTGTGTGCATGCACTCAAAACACCAAGCATACCACAACCACCAACATACAAGCGGTGAACATATAGTGGCAGCAGCACATCAGAAGCTTTCGGCACAGTTTGTGTCACTGTAAAACCGCGTGTCTGTGTTTTCGTCTGATTCATGACTATGCTTCTTCCAGGCTGCTGGTGGGGGCCCCCAGAGCCAAGGCTCTGAGTCGGCAGACGTCGAAGGTAACCGGAGGGCTGTACAACTGTGACTTCAGCGACCCCAGCAACTCCTGCAAAAGGGTGGACTTCGATAACGATGGTATACCAACTTTGACCCGCACTGTGAGCTGGTCACGCTCATCTTTTAGTGACTTTCCTTCCCAAGCAGGGCTCCACACTAAGCCCATTTTGCTTGCGTATGCGACCTAAAATATAGCTGTGCTTCTAACGTGAAAAGCAATTACTCACACAAATGCTAAATACAATTATTATTTTTTTAAAATTTTAAGCAAATATTTTTGGGGATATTTAATTTGTTATTATTATGAATATAATGTTGTGATTATTATGATTATTATGATTATTATATTTATTCAACATTATTAGTATTGTTATTTGTATTTGTGTTTTTCAAAATCATTTTTAATCAAGCAATATCACACGGGAGTACTATTATACTGAATATCAGCACATTGACAGTAATAAGCGACAACAGATTATGATTTGTTTATTGAATCATTTATTTAGCTCTGCCAACACATTGTTCCTCAACTGGACTGGGACTGGACTGTTGCCAAGCAACACATAAAAATGTTCCCGCACACAACGATCGTTAATGTAATTAAAGGTTATTAGAGCACCTGTAAAGCGGAGGGATACATGTGTAGTTAAAAGCCCCAGTGCTGTTATATCGAATATCAGCACTCATGGAACACCTCTCGTCAGATGACTCGGAACTAACTGTTGTATAATATTTAGATAATTGCTTTTTGTAATGTAGTTTAATTGGTATAAATATTTTCATTATGCACCCAAATGTCTTTGTGTGCCCCTAGTTTAGAGCCCTGTTCCCAAGTATTGTGTATGTAAAATAGTTACATGTGTGTGTGTGTTTTCCTCTGATCTTGTGTTCTCTGATTATAAAGAGAACCCGAAAGTGGAGAGCAAAGAGAACCAGTGGATGGGAGTCACTGTGAACAGCCAGGGACCCGGAGGGATGGTTGTGGTAAGTGCTTGCTTCTTCCTCTAATTACGTAGTGCCGACCAAGCAGTCTGATTGGTCAACTACGTTTAGACTGTGCTCAAATCAGCATGATGGCACACCTAGCCGTGCTGCCTCATCACTATAAATATTACTCCGCCATTGATTAAAAATAGAGCCCGACCGATATGGGATTTTTAAGGCCGATACCGATACCTATAAATATTACTCCGCCAAATATTTGATGATTTAAAAATCCGATATTCCGATATATCGGCCGATATATATATTGAAAAAAGAAATTCCAGAAACACGTAACAAAACATAAACAGATTTCCCTAACATTAGTTATATGTAGTTATTTATGAGTCCTCGCTAAAATAATAGGATAATGCAGTGAACACACTTCACTGATGGGTCACACCGCAAGCGACATGAGCAGCAGGGGGCGCTGTGGCCGCTGGCTGCCATCGCCAGGGGGGCGGGGCTTCAAGCAGCACTGCAGACATCAAGTTCGGTTGCGCCCATTGCAATATCAAGTTTGTAGTAGAGCTATTCGGCAGGCCGGCGTGACAAGCATGTTCAAATAACAATTTACACGTTTCCCCTGTTTATTATTTAGCAATCAAAATAACAGAAATGGAGATAAAGCATTATAAAGCGCAAAACACACTGCTGCCGCGGCGCGTCTATGACAAGTGCTGCCCGTAGCACCCATAGGAATATAGTCATCTCCAGAGCAGAAGGAAAACTAAAGAAAAGAAAAAAGCGCCTTTTCGGCGGCACTTGATGCGCGGCGACGCTGTGCAATAGGACAGTGGCGTTAAGTGTAGCGGGTTGTTGCTTCGCACCGACGCCGCTCATTTGCATAAAGTTAAACTAATTTCAACTCTCCGCGTCGCGCTGCTCGCTGCCGCCGCGGCGCCGGCCGCTCCTCGTCGGCAGCACTCATTGAAAATGAATGACTGCCGGACGCTTTTCCTGCTCATGTCGCTCGCGGTCGTGGATAACTCGTTCGCTCTGCCCGACTCTGGCTGGATCAGCTGGTTGTAGGGTTTGTGGCGTTATAACTGGTTGAAGGGTGTTTCGTCCGTTTTTTTAAATATTCATTTATCGGCCATTATAAATGCCGATACCGATAGTTTGGAAAATGCCTAATATCGGCCGATAATATCGGCCCGCCGATATATCGGTCGGGCTCTAATTAAAACTATACATATTTCCATGGCCACACTGTAACTGCCACTGTGAAATACATCAACCTGACATTCCTCTGACTTCCTCTGACTTTCCTCAATTAGTCTTTTTTTATGTTCAAGGGTTTATGATCAATGTGGAGCACAAAAAAAACTCCCCCGTTTTCTTGTATTTGTTTACAGGCCAGTCTTGGCCTCTCCAATATGGCAGCGACGTTGATGTACGATCCAAAGGCCAGTCTGTGCATATATGCATTGAATGACATACTCTGTCTCTCTGTCTGTTTCCCAGACCTGTGCTCACCGCTACCAGAAACGCAAACACGTCAAAACAGCCGACGAGTCCCGTGAAATCACAGGCCGCTGCTACACGTTTAGCCAGCACCTGACCATAGCCGAAGGGTCCGACGAGGAAAACGGCAACTGGCACTTCTGCAATGGCCGCTTGCGCGGCCACGAGAGGTTTGGCTCCTGCCAGCAGGGGCTCTCTGCCACCTTCGACAAGAACTACCACTACCTGATCTTTGGAGCGCCTGGCGCATACAACTGGAAAGGTATATAGGGTGTGGTGTTACAGTGATAGTCTTTGAGTGTATGAGTGAATATGAAGATTGTGAATATGTGCTGGTAGCCGAAGAGCCTTTGACGGTCGGTTTGACACCCAGATGACAGATTCAGGATCATCTCATTGGCTTTGAGTCCTTTTCATAACATGCCAGCTCCATCTCTATCCCCCCACCCCTGATCCCCACATACACACACCTCCCCTGCTCCTCTCCTCTCCTCTCCTCTCCTCTCCTCTCCTCTCCTCTCCTCTCCTCTCCTCTCCTCTCCTCTCCTCTCCTCCTCTCTCCTGTCATCTCCTCTCCCCCTCTCCTCCGCTCCTCTTTTTCTCCTCACCTCTCTTCTCTCTTCTCCTCTCCTCTCCAGGTGTGGTGCGTCTGGAACAGAGGAACAACACCCTCTTTGAAATGGGCATCTACAGCGACGGCCCATTTGAGACCGGGGACGAGAGCAAAATGGATCCCACTCTGGTTCCAGTACCTCCCACCAGCTACCTGGGTAAAAACTTACTCTCTGTCTCTGTCTCTGTCTCTGTCTCTGTCTCTGTCTCTCTCTCTCTCTCTCTCTCGTTCTCCTCACACTGCCTCACTGTATATCTCTCGGGCTCCCCCTCCCTCACACACCAGGCTTCTCCCTGGACTCTGGCATGGCCGTGGTAGAGAAGGAGACACTGACGGTGGTCGCGGGCGCGCCCAGGGCCAACCACAGTGGGGCGGTGCTGCTGATGAAGAAAGGGACTGAGAGCAATATCTTGCTGGCCGACTTTATCCTGGAGGGGGAGGGCCTCGCCTCCTCCTTTGGCTACGACCTGGCTGTGCTGGACCTCAATAAAGACGGGTATGTAGAGAAAAGATAGAAAGAAAAGACGTACATGGACACACAAACACGCACTTGTGCACGCACGCACACACACACACAAACACACACACTCCCACACACATACATGTATATTTATGGAGAGTGAGTGCAAACAGTAGCAGATCTTTGACCAACTTTGCTGCTGTCTTTTACTTAGTTTAGTTACTTGGACACTTGGATTCTTATGTATAACAGTCTATAATGTTTAGTTTTAGTTTCCATAATGTAGTATACATTGTTAATAATATATTGTAATGTTAATATTGTAATGTTATATTTTATTGTATTATTATTAATGACATTGCTACTACTCATATTATGTATATCAATATATCTTCTGTATTTATTTTGATTTATTTGTTAATGTATTTATTTATTTAAATCATTTTCATCTTTTTTCCACTGCG